TTTTTTTATCATGAATAGAATTCCTCCCTGTAAAGGTGTAAATGAGGAAACGCAAAAGGCTCTGGACCGATCTCTTCTTGATTGCACTTTCCGATTACAAGGTAGAAACAATCGCACGTGGGTGGCTGAGCTGGTGTTTGCAAACTGTCCACTTAATAGCACTTCATCCAGGGAGCAAGGTAAGTTTTATTTGGGAAGACTGGTACATTTTGTTTCTTTGTGGTTTACATTGTCTGTTCCAGTAGTTCTAATGTTTTGTTGTTACTGGACAGCTATCTGTTCTTAAGGTTTCTAATAAACCACAGTGTACCTGAATCAAAATTTTGACTGCTGAGTTGATGCACTTTTATTATTTAAATATGCTTCCTGGTCACTTGCCACAGTTCACTCGTAGTCTGTAAACCACAGTTTAGGAACCACTAGTTTAATCAGTATTTACTATCTCCTAACACTGCAGGACCAACCCGTCATGTTTATCTGACGTATGAAAACCAGTTATCTGAACCAGTTGGAGGTCGCAAAGTTGTTGAGATGTTCCTTAATGACTGGAACAGTATTGCTCGGCTGTATGAATGTGTCCTGGAGTTTGCACGATCCTTACCAGGTACAGAAACCACCTCCTTTTCATTAAAATGATGTGTTTAGAGATTACTATGGTTTTCTCACACTGACTCTTTTTTCCTCCTCTCTTCAAAGACATACCCAACCACTTAAACATTTTTTCAGAAGTTCGTATCTACAATTACCGAAAACTTATCCTTTGTTATGGAACTACCAAGGGGAGCTCAGTAAGTAACTCCTAAGTGCACTTAAAATGTATATTTGAAAACAGAATGGGTAGGCTTAGAGTTCTCAGAGTTGTCCTACAAAGTATTTCCTTGTATTACATTATTGTGGAATTAATATTGATGAATGTAGACAAGACAGAAACAGAGGGTGCCAGCTAGCTAATTTGCTAGGTTACTAGATGTGCAGAATTTTTGAGAATTTATGGAAGGTGCTTTAAATTGTGGGAAGGACAGTTCTGTGCTCCTGATTGGTGAAAGGTGGTGTGGCAGCCTTTTTTGACAAACTTGTGGGAAACGTTGCTACTGGTCGCTGCTGTACTGGAATATGTGGGTATATGTAAGCTGAGTGCCTAGTTTGGCCTTAGAAGAAAGGACTCTAACCAAGTTTTAAATGTAGTACTGTGCTTTCAAATGAGGTGGTCCTTAATTATTTTGTAGCAGTGCTGTTCCCTTCTTCAGAACTCTAGCTTACTCTGTAGTATTTGAATTTACAGCTTATGAATTACTTTGATAACTGACTGAGTACTTGCTCACACCCTTGCCTTAAATGCAAGGTAGAGGAAGAAGTAAGTGCGCGTTTATTACAGGCTAAGAATGTATCTTTGTGGGCAACCGACGCAAAGTAGCTGATGCGCTTGAAATTTGCTTCATGGAAAGTTTTTGTGTTCATGTTCTAAGCTGAATTTTTAAGAGCATTTCTATGTGCATTTTACTGGGACAGTTAACAAGTAACAAGAGTAGCAGTGTGGATTTTGCATGTCACTTCCTTATGTATTAGCATGTCCAGTTCTTGGTTTTGTGTGCTATGACTGAGAAAACCAGTCCACCTTCAGCAACTCATTAATCAGTTCTCTGCAGCGTAGATCTCTTGAGTTTAATTTTCTCTATCTCACCTTTAGCAGAAAAGGCTTTTTTCTTTTTGATTGGCTTCCTAAAATAATTCACAAGTTTTGTGGTTGCCAACAATCCAGCTAGCTAAATCAATGTTAAAGCTAACAGCGCGCTTATTATTTTTCACAACCTCAGCAACTTTTGAGGAAGGCAAGTTAGGAATCGGTTGAGGTTTGATGAAAAATGGGGAAAAATATTAAAGTAGACCAGCTTTCTTACTGTAACCTCGTAGTTGTTCTAGTTTCCAAGACCATTTTATGTCCTTGACATTGCAGATCAGCATTCAGTGGAATTCTATACTCCAGAAGTTCCACATTTCACTGGGAACCGTTGGCCCAAACTCAGGTTGCAGTAACTGTCACAACACAATTCTGCACCAGCTCCAGGAGATGTTTAATAAAACACCAAATGTGGTGCAGTTGTTACAGGTAACGTTTTAAAAACTTCTCTCAAGAAAAGTGCAAGATAATTAAGAGCTCAATTCTGATTAAACTGTTCTGTTCAAAATTACCTGTGTATGTTATGATTGTTTATGGATCTCATTGGCAGAAGGTGGCTTGGGGAAGATTGTATACCCCCCCGTGCCCCATTTTCCCTGACCTTTACTTAAAGGTAAGCCACCTGATCTCTCAATATCTGTTCTCTCTCAGGTTTTGTTTGACACTCAGGCTCCATTAAATGCCATCAACAAACTTCCAACTGTGCCCATGCTGGGTCTGACTCAACGCACCAACACTGCCTATCAGTGTTTCTCAATCCTGCCACAGTCACCCACGCATATCAGGCTGGCTTTTAGGAATATGTACTGCATTGACATCTACTGCCGGAGTCGTGGTGTTGTAGCGATACGTGATGGGGCGTACAGCCTCTTTGACAACAGCAAAATAGTTGAAGGTTTTTACCCTGCGCCTGGATTAAAGGTGACCATTTTTGTGTTTTCTGGCATGTAAATAAATGAACTTCTAACTTGAAGTATGGATCTGATGTGAGGAGCTGCAGTCCTTCCAAAATTCTGAGGACAGAAGGAATTTTCTGATATATCAGTAGATTTGTTAACTAGTTTGAATAAAAGATTTAATTTAAGAAAACTAGCATCAAGTGTCAGGACTTTTTTTCTTATCTATGTAATAAATTAACATAGTGGCTACTTCAGGCATCCTTTTGTTAAAACTCGCTGAACCTTTGTGACTAGGCTACGTGTATTCTCCAGGAGTAACAACAGCTGCTCCTCACAAACTCTGCTGGCAGGACAGTACTCAGACGAGGAAACGCTCCATGTCAGATGATTCTAGACAGAAACTTCTCTTTTAAAGTAGTTTCCATCAGCGTGTGGCAGGAGCCTGTGGCTTTGCTTCCGAATACAGTGCTGGTTAGTTCTTCCTGAAAAATGAATCTTTGCACACTGATAGAATACCTTGGCTGAGGGCGGCTTGTGCCAGCGCTAGTTACACTGCAATATTGGAAAGTGACACCCATTGTGAAACAGGATAGTTTGCTGATTTTTTCTTCTGACAGTTGCAACTGAACGCTGATTCTCTAGTACTGCATTCAGTTGCTCCTAAACATCTACCTCTATCAGGAATTCCAAGTGGAAGGCTAATGGGAAGAGGAAGGGGATTGTAGATAACAGTGGGAAGTGTAAGAGAAAGAAATTGGGAAGGTAGAGGAGGAAGTAATTCAGGGGGGGTTGGCAGATTCCTCTGGGTACAAGAGAATGCCATGGAGGAGGAGGAAATTGCTCACAAGACTGATTTTTCCACAGACATTCCTGAACATGTTTGTTGACAGCAATCAGGATGCACGAAGACGATCTGTGAATGAAGATGATAACCCACCTTCTCCTATTGGAGGAGACATGATGGATTCTTTGATATCGCAGCTTCAACCCCAGCAGCCACCGCAACAACAACAACAGCAGGTACCCCCCAGGCAAAATAAATTGTTGTCTTCCACAACTGCAGGTTTCTAAGAACTTAGTTTTAAAAGGATTAGCAGTAAATAAGGGAAGGGGAGACTATAAACCTGCTCTGCTGTGGAACTCCCCTTGGGGCAAGACGTATTATTTATTTTGCCATTTCTCATTCCAGTGTAAACAGCCCATAGCATATGAACAGCAGCTTTGGAAGGTCACATGAGACTTGTTGCCTTAGAGGTGAAAGACTGAGGGTGGAAAAATGACTGTTTAAGATAAAAGATGGGAGGGGGAGTCAGGAGGCTTTGCTGTGATAGGGTGGCAGATAAAAGGGATGAGGTGCAGAGGTATTCTGTTTTGAGGAGAAACTACAAAAAGCCACTAAAAAAAACAGTGAGCACTGAACAAGGGGATATAGAGAATCAACCAACTATGTTGATGGACCTATAAGATTTCATAGGTGGGGACCAAACTCTCTCATTAGTATTCTCCTGCACTTACTTAACTTCAGTTTTAGTACAAAATCATTAAAAATGTTCCTTGTCCTGTGTTGACAATTTCAGCCATTTGCAAAACAGGCAGGAGCATCGGGAGCATATCCTCTTACTTCACCACCCACCTCCTATCATAACACAGTGACGCCATCTCCATCTATGATGCACACACAGTCACCAGGTAAGATGGCTGAGAGTTTGTGTGCTATTTGTGTGCTGGAAATGTACACACAGCTCTTTGTGCGCGCATGCTTTTTCTGTTATTTGAGCTGTGTTTAGCTCCAAGTTAGCCAGGAGAATGCACCTTATATTGTGGCAAAATAGCAAAGCAAAATCCTGGCATGCATGTTTTGGAAAGCACGTTTTGAAGCTAAAAAAAAACATTCAGTGAAACAGTCATCTTTGGCTGTGTAGTGTTTGAGACGGTTTCATTCTTACAGCTTACAACTTGCTCAGATCAAAACCTGTTCATTTTTAAATACCTGCTTCTTCAGAAAAGGTTTTCATCACCAAAGCTCTGCTTTCTGCTCCCAGCTGTTGTAGCACAACAGCTGAAAATATTTAAATTTGGGCAAGGGCTGGGCAGGGGGGAAGTGCCATTCTTCAAGCCAAATATCTTGGAAAGTTTCCTTTGTGTGGTGAATCAATCTGGAAAATATAACACTCGTGCATGTACAAAATAAAGCCTTTGAGTGCAAAAACAAGTTCTCTTGAATCTTGTTTGCTGTCTCCCTAAAAAGGAGGCAGCTGTAGCAGTTGATAGAAAAAATTATAACATTATAAAAATGGGAGGTGTGTATGTTGAGTGACATGATGTCTTTGATTAGGAAATTTGCATGCTGCAAGCTCACCTAGCGGAGCTTTAAGAGCACCGTCACCAGCATCCTTTGGTCCAACTCCTTCACCTTCCTCTCTTGGAATCACCATGGGACAAACAGCTAACTTTGCCAGCCCACATGGTGAGTTCTTTACTGGCAGGTGTATATATAGTGACAGGGAGAGCACATTTGCTTCTTGAAATTAAGTCTCCTGGAGCAGACCTAAGTGAATTGAGAAAAATTCATGTTTTGTAGTTGGGTTAACTAGCTGTTTTCATACATGTGGGTGTAACTCTTGACAGTAGTCAAAAGTAGCTGCATGGCACGTGGTGTTCCTAACGTTTTAAAAATTGACTATCAGTCAC